GAAGTGTCTTGCCCAAAGACACAACAACCGAGACTGTCCGAGCTGGGGCTCGAACCGACAACCTTCCGGTTACAAGACGAACATCCAACTCACGTTGTATAATTCTGAAGATTTCACTGTGAATCACAATTGTGCAACTGTGCATCTGCATTTCAGCACAGCTCATTTGCTGATACATCCATTTATTTCTTGTATTTGTTTCCCTTCTGGAGTGTGAATGAACTCCTGCCTTGTTTGTCCATACCTTCTATTTCACCTCAGGAAGGGTTTAATGAGAAGAATAAAGAATAGACTATTTAGATATATGTATATATGTATGTACATGTATTTGCTGTGTAAATGACTGAATGTTTGTTTTTCTTGTGCTGGAAGTTGTAGCTCGTCTGCACTTTTGCTATGCATGATATAATGAAAACAAAGACTTCCAGGTCTAATTCTAACAGCACAGTCATGTCGTGTGATTGTTAACAATCCAAGCGGCATATCCATTCATCAACATCTTACAATTAACCTATTAACTTTTGATTCATTGGAGCTTTATTTTTAAAGGGGAACATAAAGAGTACTTGTATAACAAAAAAACATGAAGTTCTCACGAAGTCACATTTGAAGTGTTACTGCTTGGTTTTGGAGGGTTTTTTTGTTGTGTTTTTGTTAATGGCAGACATGGAAACCCTAATGGTAGCACTTACAAAATAATAATAATGCACCTTTTGTTGAGGACTAAAGGTTTCAAATCTTAGCAGTGCTTTCTAGATCAGTTATAATCAGTTAGAACAAAGGACAATTACTGCTGATGTCCAGACCTTCTTTTCCTTTTCATTTATTTTGTGGTAATTATGAAGTTATATGTTACACGTTTTTCATCCATTAAACCGAACTCTCTTTCCAATGAGGCACCAAGTAAATATTAATGTCTCCTCACAAAGGATCAAATAATCGCGTCATAAGTTAGAAGTGTGAGTTTTTAAACGGATAATGGATTTTAAAGGCACTTACAGCAGCATTCACAAAGTGGGCCAACCCTAACTTCCTGCAAATACCCACACCTATTATTTACAAATCATAGGCTATTTGATTCTATAATTTTTACTTAAACAAAAGCGAAAAACATTTTTTTAAATAAAGTAAAAATTGGGGGGGGGGGGCGATTTAGGCCTCCAATGCAAACAGTTGATGACGGACCAGCTGTGCAGCTGCAGTTAACATGGTGCTCACAGTGAAAAGCCCACCAGTGTTCTCTTGCATAATTGCACTGCCACTAATTGGTAGTTTGGCCACAGATGTATTGAGCCGACTGGAGATTTTTAAAGAGCCTGCTGCACCTACACGCTGTGGGCAACCTACGTGCAGAAAGCGCTACGTAATCTTTGTGTGTGTGCGCGCGCGTGTGCGTGTGTGAGTGAGTGAGTGAGTGAGTGAGCGTGTTACAGACAGGCAGTGGAGCGTCTCTGCTCTCTCGTAAGCATCGCGGGGTTTAATCGCTCCTTCTCCCTCGTCTACAGGAGGCGCCCGTCGAACCCGTCTGTCTGTCTGTCGTCGTCCCTCCGTCGGTCTGTTTTAGCCGTTGTCTTTAGACAAGTTGAAGTTTGGAGACAATAACCCGTCCTTTTATTTTACACCCCTCTTCTCCTGCTCTTTGGGTGAAGCTTCACTGTCATCCCGGAAGATTCAGCACCTTCTCTCTCTCCTCAGAGGAAGTTGAAGCAAACAGGTGCGTGAACCCACAGCTCGTGTATCCATCGCCCTTATCTTAAAATGTGTTAAAATCGTCCGTTTGGTGCTGCTAACATCTACACAGTTATTTAGTTATTTATGCATTTTTATCAGACACTCCAACACAATAGATCCGTTCTCTATTCCGGTTATTTCAATTTATAGTAAAATCCATTCATCCATTCATGGATGCTTAACAAAGGCTGTGACCAGCAGTTCCTACAGGTGGGATTTCCAGCTGCCTCAGAGCACAGCTGCCTGTATGGGCTGAACCCCACATTTGCACAAATATTTCAGCCGGCGATATTGGCTTGACAAACCTGTCGGAGGGAAAAGAAAAAGGGCGGTGGCATCGTGTGTGTGTTTCTTTCTTTTTAATATCGGGCGTTTCATTTCATCCCAGTGTGCTTTCTCACTGTTCCTGTTTTCAGCACCCTCACAGCTGTGTGTGCGTAAAATAAATAAATAAATAAATACATCGGGAGCCAATCGAGCAGCCATGGACGCGTTAATGAAGGGTTTCTCTAAAGCCAAGGACGGGGTCGTGGCAGCGGCCGAGAAAACCAAGCAGGGAGTGACCGGAGCGGCTGAGATGACGAAAGACGGGGTTATGTATGTCGGTGAGTTCTGGATTTTAATTTCATTGGTGACAGTGTTGCCAGAAAAAAATCGACGGGACCTTTCCAATGCTACTAATTCACTAATATTAGTATAATTACTTCTATTATAGGCTGATTACTGAATTCAACAGGGGACTTGTGGGTTATATTTCTAATTGACCTCCACCTGTATGTTGTTACAGGTACTAAAACAAAGGACGGAGTCACAACAGGTAACAGCATACATTATTTCACTGCCTCTCTGCATGACTTTACCCGTTTTCTGAATTCAGTCTGACTTTTGGTTTGGCTCAAGCTGTTAGAAAATGTAATCTATCCAAATCCACAGGTGGTCAGTAAGAGAGCTGTACTGTAACTCTGTAGGTTGGGGTTATATTTCACTGTTTAACTCAACACAAACCGCCTAATCCCCCACAGGCTATGCCTTGCCATTTCTCATACATGAAATACAGAGAAGCAGAAGGAGGCCGTCTGCTGTAGGCATTCAGGGAAATGGCTGTGCTTTTGTAGGCAGGTGGGATTATGAGAGGAAAACACAACAGCGTGATGTCTCGTTTATTGTGAAGGTGGACAGGGGATCTTTGCTTCCAGTGGGACTAAGCGATGCACATTAGATGATCTGATAATCTGCTTTCAGGTGGTCCGCACAGACCAATCTAATGTCCTATGAGTACCCACGACTTGACTAATTATCCCATGTAGCACTGCTGCATCCCTGTAAGCCACATTTTGGCTCACTGCCAATCAAGACAAAGCAAACATCACCTCAGAGTTGACTATACGGCAATCTGAACAGTTCTTAACTGTTTTGCAAAGTCACAAATTAGCATTACAAATTCCTCATGTTTAAATTGTGGGCCAACATTGGGTTTTTCCAGTGTTGCTGTAGGGAATACTTAAGCAAGACATCAAACAGACAGCAGAAGGTTTGGTGCTTGGCGGCCCACATGTCAATTGTTAATGACATTTTCAATCTTAATTTCACAAAGAGATCTCACTAAAAACACTCTGCAAGACGCATACAGGAACGCTGTTGAAGACTCGATACATCACAGAGAAAGCTTTTGAATGAGAAAGCCTGCAGCCAGCTCCCAAAGTTGGCCTGTCAACCAAATGATATGTCAGGTGATGATCCTGTTTTAAATAACACCGCAGGCAAAGCAAGTACGTTTATTTACACCAAAGAAAATTATCATTGGCAACAGTTGACTGGGACATACTGTTGCCACTAAACAAATGTAATTGCTGTAGTTTTGGAAGTAAAAAGTGTTCCCATTCTTCCCATCAAGAATTTGTTTTTGTTTGTTTTGTTTTTTTTTTACTAGTGTGACAGTGTGTTCTGGGATTATCTTGCAGAAATAAGCAAGACAATTTCAAAAAAGATATCGTCCAGATGTGCAAGTTAGATATGCTATCAAACAAGGTCACACCCAGAGAAGGCAGTGGCCTTTCTGGATCTTGTTCATATATACACACACACGCACACACACACACA